AGATATGATGGTAAATACATAAATGTATACCCTGGCTTGGACTTTTGACTCGATATACTGTACATAATATAACTGGATAGCTGGGTATAAATTTATAAAAGCTAACATATACGAGTACACCATTACAACTACGACTTCTAACTAAATATACATATACATTGAACATCTAATTTAAAATGTGCAAAAATTTTTCTGGGGGGTTGCCCCTCCTGTAATGAGGTTGGACGGCTCAAGGGCCACCTTGGCGTGAATTTGTCTAAGGTGTAGAAGCTGTCACCCACACAACAACCACACCCTAAGTGAACGTGTTGAATGACCCAGTGCCAAGGAATAGTGAGAACACCGGACAACTCGCCAACTGCACTGGCTAACCATTACCCCGGAATACGATCGCAAATCGATTAACATCCAGGTCCCCAATTACTGCTGAGTAGACAGAGGCAAATAGAGTAAAGAAACTTGCCCATAGTTTCACCCTGTCCGGGTATCGAACCCGGGTCCGCTCGCTTGCGAGGCGATCATGCTGACCATTACACGGCATTACACTTACACTAACATATGACTTTACATAACACATAATATACATTTTGCTTGGACATCTAATTTAGAATACAGACTCTTGGACTCTTCCCTCGGACTCTTAGATTAAATTGTCACTGGTGTGTGTGTTCTATAGGTAGGTAATATCTCTGTACGTTATGTTTCTCTAGGGTACAATGCTTCATGGTGTACACTCGTTGTCTTAAAACACCACAAGACATACGTGCGACTTTCCATCCTCTAGTGGTGATAGTGGTATTGGTGGTGGTGATGGTAGTGGTAGTGGTTGTGGTGGTGGTGATGATAGTAGTGGTGGTAATGGTGGTAGTGGTGATGATAGTAGTGGTGGTAATGGTGGTAGTGGTGATGATAGTAGTGGTGGTAATGGTGGTAGTGGTGGTCGTCGAAGAAAATATAATGAGAGTAAATTACGTTCCTAGAAAGAGAGAAAGAAAGTAAGAGAGTAAGTCAGAAAGAAAGGGGTCAGAGAGAAAGTGAGAAGGGAAAGAGGAAGAAAGAAAAAGAGAAAGGAAAGAGGTAGAGTGAAAGGCCGCCTTGGGATGAATTAGTTGAGGCAGCTCCCGTAAAGTGTATGGTGTATAGGGGGAGACTCTTTTAATATTCATTTGGCTGTGTTGCTTGACTCTCTATCTCAGGTGACACGTAAAACCACTCTATTTTTTTTTTCTTTCTTGGGATCAACTGAAGTTTAACTATACGAAGCTAACCTAACCTAATGCTAACCTAACCTAATACAAACCTAACCTAATACTAACCTAACCTAACCTAATCTAATGCTAACCTAACCTAATTCTAACCTAACCTAATACAAACCTAACCTAATGCTAACCTAACCTAATCTAATTCTAACCTAACCTAATACAAACCTAACCTAATACTAACCTAACCTAATGCTAACCTAACCTAATCTAATGCTAACCTAACCTAATTCAAACCTAACCTAATACAAACCTAACCTAATACTAACCTAACCTAATACTAACCTAACCTAATCTAATGCTAACCTAACCTAACCCCTCTGCTTTTCACTCTACAACCATATAAAACACTTACACCGTGGAAACTCATTTAGGTTGATATTAACAACTCAAAAATCGTAATGGAGTGGTCCTGAAGAGAGGGAGAGGTGTGTTTAGAGAGTAGGAAGGGGAGCTGGGTGCAGGGAAATATGCAAATTGACTCAATAGTTGATATCGAAACACATTTGCGTAAATTGGGAACTACAGGACGGGTGAGGCGAGTGAAGAGAATGGGGGAGGGGTGGGAGAGTGAGGAGAATGAGACGAGTGAGGTGAGTGAAGTGAGTAAGGTGAGTGTGGAGAATCAGAAGAGTAAGGCGAGTGAAGAGCGTGAGAAAAGTCAAGCGAATGAGACGAGTGAAACGAGTAAGGAGAGTGAGGCGAGTGTGGGCCATCATACCACCTCCCTCCCTCCCTTTCCACCTTCCTACCTCCCTACCTATTCTCTCGAGACCCTTTAGCGGCGGGTTGTGGAGGGAGAAGACTTATTAAGAGAAAAGGGAAGAGAGGGAGGAAGAGAAGGTGAAGGAGAGAGAGAGAGAGAGAGAGAGATCAAAAGACAGACTCTTCTATATATAAATTATAGTGAATAGTCTTCCTAACTGTCTCTGGGGAAGGGCGGAGGAAAGGAGGTGGGAAGGGGCAGAAGAAGGAGGATGGGTAGGGGGCGTGGAGGAGTGGGAGTGGCGGCAAGGGGCGGAGGAGGGGGCAGGAAGGAGACGGAGGTGGGATGGGAAGAGGGAGGAGGAGGCAGGGAGTGGCTGAGAGGGACGAGGGGGCTGGGAGGGGCGAGGTGAAATGGAGAGGGCCAGGGGGAGGCAGGAGGAGAGGGGCGGTGGGGGACTGGGGGGGGAGGAGCGGGGAGGAGCTGAGGGGGGAGGGGGGTAGTAGAAAAGGGAGGAGGGCGGCATGGGACGTAGGGATGAATGAAGGAATCCTGGGGTCAATATTTCGTGAATGAAGGAGCCATCACACCACAGGTCCTCTACACAAATAACCTGATTATACAAAGGGAGAAAAGAGCCGCCAGAGGTGATACAGCTGACGGCAGGAGTAAAAGAAACTCAGGTGGATAAAGCCATAGGAGGCGGATACAGGCATAGTGAAAAGTCACTGGATACGGATGACGCCACAGGAGGTGCATAAAACCATAGGATAAAGCCACAGGAGACTGATGAAGCCACAGGAAGTGGATAAAACCATAGGATAAAGCCACAGGAGACGGATGACGCCACAGGAGGTGGATAAAACCATAGGATAAAGCCACAGAAACTGGACAAAGCCATGGGATAAGTCACAGGGGCGGGTACAGCCATAGGATAAAGTACAGGAGACGGATAAAGCCATAGGAAAACGCCACAGGAGGCGGATAAAGCCATAGAGGCGGATAAAGCCACAGAAACTGGACAAAGCCATAGGATAAAGTCACAGGAGGCGGATAAAGCCATAGGAAAACGCCACAGGAGGCGGACAAAGCCACTGGATAATGTCACAGGCGCTGGATAAAACCATAGGAGAGAAAGAATAATGCCACAGAACACAGAACAGGTGTTTTAGAATCCCAAATCATAAGTGACAGGACGAAAGATGGAATAAGCCGATCATGATAAAGAGAAGAAGTAACGTAGCCAGAAAGACGTAACACAAGACAACACAAGGAAGAATATATGAAAGAAATAACAAAAAAAGAAACACAAGAAAAATAGTGAATAAAGATGTAACCAGTAGAATATGAAAGGAATGAAAAGATAGAAAAAAGGAGTAAGAAGAATGAAGGAACTGTATGAAAGAATAAAAACGTGGGAAGGAAAAAAAAAGAGGGACTTCCTAAATAAGTTCAAAGGTATAAGGAAGGAAGAATAATATAGGGTGTTCCAGAAGACTGTCTTTATCTCCCTCCCTGCCTGTCTGTCTCCCTGCCCCCTGCCTACTCCCTGCCTGTCTGTCTCCCTGCCCCCTGCCTACTCCCTGCCTCCCTCCCTCCAACTCACAGTGTCTCAGGGAGGGAGGGAGGTAGGGACATTATTCTAGGACACCCTATAAATGGGAAATATAAAAGAAAGAGTAATGGCCAGAAAGAGAGAGAGAGAGGGACAACAACACCAGGTTCTATCATGTGTATAACAGGACCTTAACTGAAGACTTCTATTAATTTCCCTTGGGTGAACTGAGGGACTCCAGCACCCTACAGCAGGATATTTACCACTGGCATTCAATCAAACATCAGACTGGGTGCCACCTCCTAATCCTCCAGAGTCAAGAGATAGACACAAATATAAAATAATAACTTTTTAACTACGGTATGAAAATATAATCGTAATATATTACCTGTGAATGTGAATAATCTTGAATGTTTTAAATGTTTCGGGAAAAATTTGAGAGAAATTGTATGTTTCTTATCATCTAATGTTGATAATTTATGTTTGTGAGTGTCCGAGGGTCTTCATCATTAATCACCACTTGTGTATAAGATCCCCACTGAGATGAATACGATCCTCTGGCGTTAACCTGATGTAATATTAAACGTGGCGTCCCCATAGTGGAGGTTAGGGGAGAGCTATAGAGACGAGCTGGAGAAGGGACGGGCTAAATAGAGCAAGTAAGTATATCCTCTCTTGTTATATAATAAGTGTTAGAAGTTTATAGACAACTAGATAGATCGGAAACTTTAAGGTAAAATGACAGAGAGACGGACAAAATAGATGTGAAATTCAAAAAGAACGAATTTAAGATGAAAAGGAAAACATTTAGACTGAGCAGCTCCTCCTTGTGACATGTTTATCTCAGACAGATCAATACAACCATGACTATATACGAAGGTTTCTAAGATTTGTTGTCACTAACTCTCTCTGGGGAGTTTGTGCTTCATTTACCTCACGACTAACGACAATGACCAGACTTCCTCAGCAAATGTCTCGAACTTTTTCCCTCGGCTACCAGTTGACTGTGTAGAGACGTGAACGATTCAAAAGACCTTGGAGAAGATTTTTTTCATGGGTATGTCCTCTCATCTCTGCCCTACTGTCGCCCACCATACTAAGAGGTTGACTTAAGAACGCCAACAATCAATTCGTCCGTGCGTTCGGAATCTGTTAACACGATAACTCGAACAAATACCGACGAAACCTAACGAAATTTAGCAAATATTGAATAACATAATGAAATATCGACCAGTTCGAACATCAGTATCTTCGATCGTGAAAGTCCAGAGCACAATTTATGTCTCTTGTAATTTGTTTTGGCGCGAAAGGAGAATTTGTCTACCTCGCTTCTGTTATTGTAAAGAAAACACCAAGTCGCTTTTTCACTGTGTCAATCTCCGCGTGTGTTATACCACCATCACCTCTCCAGTTACTGCCTGTCAGGGAATTAACTACTTTTTCCGCGTGTGAAGTGTTTACATAACAACGCCAGTCTTCATTATTGGATATTTGTAACCTGAGCTGTTGATGTGTCCCGTCCTGCCTGGTGATGTGTCCCCTCCTGCCTGGTGATGTGTCCCGTCCTGCCTGGTGATGTGTCCCCTCCAGCCTGGTGATGTGTCCCGTCCCGCCTGGTGATGTGTCCCCTCCAGCCTGGTGATGTGTCCCGTCCCGCCTGGTGATGTGTCCCGTCCTGCCTGGTGATGTGTCCCGTCCGCCTGGTGATGTGTCCCGTCCTGCCTGGTGATGTGTCCGTCCTGCCTGGTGATGTGTCCCGTCCTGCCTGGTGATGTCCCGTCCCATGGTGATGTGTCCCGTCCGCCTGGTGATGTGTCCCGTCCTGCCTGGTGATGTGTGTCCCGTCCTGCCTGGTGATGTGTCCCCTCAACCTGGTGATGTGTCCCGTCCTGCCTGTTGATGTGTCCCGTCCTGCCTGGTGATGTGTCCGTCTGCCTGGTGATGTGTCCCGTCCGCCACGGTGATGTGTCCCGTCAACCTGGTGATGTCCCGTCCTGCCTGGTGATGTGTCCCGTCCTGCCTGTTGATGTGTCCCGTCCGCCTGGTGATGTGTCCCCGTCCGCCTGGTGATGTGTCCCGTCCTGCCTGGTGATGTGTCCCGTCCTGCCTGGTGATGTGTCCCCTCAGCCTGTTGATGTGTCCCGTCCTGCCTGTTGATGTGTCCCGTCCTGCCTGGTGATGTGTCCCGTCCTGCCTGGTGATGTGTCCCGTCCTGCCTGGTGATGTGTCCCTCAGCCTGGTGATGTGTCCCGTCCTGCCTGTGATGTCCCGTCCTGCCTGGTGATGTGTCCCGTCCTGCCTGGTGATGTGTCCCGTCCTGCCTGGTGATGTGTCCCGTCCTGCCTGGTGATGTGTCCGTCCCGCCTGGTGATGTGTCCCGTCTGCCTGGTGATGTGTCCCGTCCTGCCTGGTGATGTGTCCCGTCCAGCCTGGTGATGTGTCGGTGATGTGTCCCCTCCAGCCTGGTGATGTGTCCCGTCCCGCCTGGTGATGTGTCCCCTCCAGCCTGGTGATGTGTCCCCTCCCGCCTGGTGATGTGTCCCCTCCCGCCTGGTGATGTTGAGGTGTTAACCGTGTTTCTATCGGATGTTATTTCGTTATTCTTCTTTACTGGATGTTGGTGTTATTACGGTGTCTGTTGGACGTTGTTACTTTGTCAGTATTACTCTCTGCTGAACACTACTGCCTTATCAACGCCGCTCTGTCCACCACTAGTCGTCAACAATGCACTCCACAAGTAACGTCACTCGTCTTTCTACACAAAATAGACAAAGCTCAACCAGAAATTGCTGCGGAAATCAGAGAGGCCAGCTTAACACATGACGTCCTGTGGCTAAATTAATCAACAGCTGCAAATATTCCAGTTTTTGGCATCAGTGTTCCTGACGCACCTGTCGAGGGACGATGTGTTGCCATTATGATTAACGAACGAACAGGTAACGAAGGATATTGATAAATAAACGAATATATAAGATGACTCATACTAATCATAATAAAATGACTAATAAAAACAAAACAAATAGGTAATAAAAAATAAAATTATGTGAATGAATTAACAAATATACGTATTAAAATTACATAAAAACTAATTAAGGAATGAATACGGTCATAAAGATGATATAAATAAGTTAATTAATAAATATTAATGATGAATGTTTTGAATTAGGAAATTACTGAATAAATTATATAAATAAGTATGTAAATATCATAAAAAACATAATAGATAAACAATAAAATAACTGAATAAATGAAGATAAAAATAAACATTAACAGATAAACTAATTACTAAAACAAATGAGAAACAAAAGAAAAATAAACCAATCTAAAAATAAACAAGTAACAACGAAACAAAATAACAACAAAATAAAAAAAATTAAAAATAAATATTAGTAGACAATAATTATAAACAAAATAGAAAGAAAAAGAAAATTTGATAAAAATACGAATCAGTGAATTTTAAGGTAGGATGGGAAATAATGTTGTGTGTTTATGGGAGTGTTTACATCAGCTGTGTGTGTGTGTGTGTGTGTGTGTGTGTGTGTGTGTGTGTGTGTATGTGTGTCAAGCAAGATTCCTTTTATAAATAGATGAAGGGAATGGGGAATGCAAAAGAATAAAACTAATAAGGAGAGAGAGAGAGATAACCCCATCACTCTCACTCCCCTTCCCTACACATACGGGGTCGGGGAGGGTAGAAGTCGGGGAGGTGGAGGTCGGGGAGGTAGAAGTCGGGGAGGTGGAGGACGGGGAGGTAGAAGTCGGGGGAGGTAGAAGGGGAGCCAAACCTTTTTCACTTTAGCTAATCATACGCCCAATTACCGAGGTGTGGCACAGTAGTTACAGTAAAAGCCCAAGTTAACCCCTCTATAATGTACGGGATGGTAGGGGGAACTGACTTAGAAGTTACTGAGGCAGGAGGAAACGCTACAGGAATCATAAATAGGAATTATTTTATTTAGTGTGTCATAATGCACTACAATGAGATGCTATATAATGCGCTACAATGAGATATTATATAATGTAGATGTATAATGTATTAAATAGATCATTGAATAGATTTTGTTTATGTTTTATTATATACAAGAAAGATGAAAGAATTTATTGTGGCTTTACTGAAGAATAAACTGAAGGATAGATGGAATAACTTTAACTTTATCTACACATAATGAGACGGGTAGGCATGATATATTTCGAAATTTGATTGCGTTTTAGAAGATGATGAAGTATGATGAAGTATGATGAGTTATGTATGGGTAATATACTGAGATGGATGATAGGTGGAATTGACTTAATTTATCAACGCTGCTGATATGTGACAAATGGGGATATTTCTGTCTGTGTTTTATAAAAAAATAACTATATGTAATTTGTATGTAGATAACCGGGTAGATGTGTGTGTGTGTGTGTGTGTGTGTGTGTGTGTGTGTTTACATGTACGTACGGTATGTGTGTGAAGTTTTATGTACGTTCGTATACATACGCACATGTATAGGTGAATGTGTTCTACCTAAGTGTACAGAGTGTGTGCATTTGAATGGGACAATATTCTTTTCCTCTGAGAAATATCACTACTGGCAAATGAGGAAGATTAAACTGTGGCAACTCAGAACGGTGAAACTATAGGAACTTACTGACCAAGTTTTTTGAGAAGTGGATTGTGTCTCTGAAGGCATGGGAGAGAAAAAGAGTGTTTTGTAGGAGTGGGAGAGGTGTTAAGGGAGAGAGGGTAGTGAGAGTGAGAGAGAACAAAAGGGAGAGGAGGAGGGGGGGGAAGAGAGAGATATGTGGGGATAAGAAAGAGAGAGAGAGACGACACTAGATAAAGCTGAGGTGGGTGTTTGAGAGAGAGAGAGAGAGAGAGAGAGAGAGAGAGAGAGAGAGAGAGAGAGAGAGAGAGAGAGAGAGAGAGAGAGAGAGAGAGAGAGAGAGAGAGAGAGAGAGAGACTAGATAAATTGAGGTGGGTGTTTGAGAGAGAGAGAGAGAGAGAGAGATAGAGAGAGAGAGAGAGAGAGAGAGAGAGAGAGAGAGAGAGAGAGAGAGAGAGAGAGAGAGAGAGAGAGAGAGAGAGACGTGTGAGGCAACTAGAGGGAAGATAAGAGTGTGGTTTGGGTGATGCCTAGAATAATGAGGTAAGTTACGTGAGGGAGAGAGCGAGGGGAGGGACGATAACTGCGTGTGTGTTATCACGGGAGAGTGAACGTGGTGGGGAGGTCATCTGATATACATATATATATATACATGTGTGTGTGTGTGTGTGTGTGTGTGTGTGCATCTCTGCATCATTTTAATCGTGTATGAAATAATGTATTAAGCTCAATATATTACACATGAATCTTTAATATAATCAATGTACACGTCAAACGATACCTTCCCTACGTTGGATTACACACTTAACATGTCAGTATTTACAGCATTTTGTAATCAGGTTCACTGCATATTATTAATTACCATCAACTAACTCACTAACTACTACTAAGATTGTTTTTTTTAGTCAGAGCGAAAAATTTCCACCTGGACAAATGTATTATAATTTATGATTGGTGAAGGTAGACAATGTATGATAATTTATGATTGGTGAAGGTAGACAATGTATTATAATTTATGATTGGTGACGGTAGACAATGTATTATAATTTATGATTGGTGAAGGTAGACAATGTATGATAATTTATGATTGGTGAAGGTAGACAATGTATGATAATTTATGATTGGTGAAGGTAGACAATGTATTATAATTTATGATTGAAGGTAGACAATGTATGATAATTTATGATTGGTGAAGGTAGACAATGTATGATAATTTATGATTGGCGAAGGTAGACAATGTATGATAATTTATGATTGGTGAAGGTAGACAATGTATGATAATTTATGATTGGTGAAGGTAGACAATGTATGATAATTTATGATTGGTGAAGGTAGACAATGTATTATAATTTATGATTGGTGAAGGTAGACAATGTATGATAATTTATGATTGGTGAAGGTAGACAATGTATGATAATTTATGATTGGTGAAGGTAGACAATGTATGATAATTTATGATTTGAAGGTAGACAATGTATGATAATTTATGATTGTGAAGGTAGACAATGTATTATAATTTATGATTGGTGAAGGTAGACAATGTATGATAATTTATGATTGGTGAAGGTAGACAATGTATTATAATTTATGATTGGTGAATGTAGACAATGTATTATAATTTATGATTGGTGAAGGTAGACAATGTATGATAATTTATGATTGGTGAAGGTAGACAATGGGCGATAATTTATGATTGGTGAATGACTTTGTGAGTTAATCTGTAAAAACCGCGTTAAGGATTTTGGTTTTGTGGTGTAGACATAACTGGAGGGGGGGGGGAGGGGATAGAAGGAGAAGAAGGAGAAGAGGAGGAAGAGAGGGGAGAAGGGGAGAAGAAGGAGAAGAAGGAGAAGAGGAGGGAGAAGGTGGAGAGAAGGGAGAAGAAGGATGAAAAGGATGGAGAGAAGGGAGAAGAAGGAGAAGAGGAGGAAGAGGGTGGGGAGAGAAGGGAGAAGAAGAGAAGAGAGGAAGAGAGGGGAGGATGGAGAGGAGAAGAAGGGAAAGAAGATGAAAAGGAGGGAGAAGGTGGAGAGAAGGAAGAAGAAGAAGAAGGGATGGAATGAAGGAGAAGAAGGAGAAGAGGAGGAAGAGGGTGGAGAGAAGGGAGAAGAAGGATGAAAAGGAGGGAGAAGGTGGAGAGAAGGGAGAAGAAGAAGAGGATGGAATGAAGGGAGAAGAAGGAGAAGAGGAGGGGGAGAAGGAGAGAAGGGGAGAGAAGGGAGAAGAAGGAGAAGAGGGAGAAAGGATGGAGAGAAGGGAGAAGACGGAGAAGGGAGGAGGGAGAGGAGGGAGAGAAGGGGATATTTGTACACCCGCCCTCTGTGTACTGTACAGTGTATGTATACTTTTATTATGTACTGTACATTAATATTATCCCTACCAAGCTTTACCTACCTCAAGCTTCACCTTCATCAAGCTCCACCTCCGTTAAGCCTCACCCTCACTAAGCTTTGCCTATATTAAGCTTCACCCTCACTAAGTGTCAAATATCATAAAGCTTCACCTTCACTAAGCTTCAGTAACATTAAGCTTCACCCTCACAGAGTTCCAGCAACATTAAGCTTCATCCTCACTAAGCTCTACCTATATTAAGCTTCACCCTCACTAAGTTTCACCTACCTTAAAGCTTCACCCTCACCAAACATCAACTACCTTAAAGTTTCACCCTCACTAAGCTTTACCTACATTTAAGCTTCACCCTCACTAAGCTTCACCTACCTTAAAGCTTCACCCTCATCAATCTTCATCTACGTTAGAGCTTCACCCTCACTAAGCTTCACCTACTTTTAAGCTTCACCCTCACCAAACATCACCTACCTTAAAGCTTCACCCTCACTAAGCTTCACCTACTTTAAAGCTTCACACTCACCAAACATCACCTACCTTAAAGCTTCACCCTCACTACTCTTTACCTACTTTAAAGCTTCACACTCACGAAACATCACCTACCTTAAAGCTTCACCCTCACTAATCTTTACCTACTTTAAAGCTTCCCCCTCACTAAGCTCCACCATCCTTAAAACTTCCTCCTCAGTAAGCTTGAGTTACATTAAGCTTCATCTTCACCAAACATCACCTACCTTAAAGCTTCCCTCTCACTAAGCTTAAGTTATGTTAAAGCTTCTCCCTCACTAAGCTTGAGTTACAATAAGCTTCAACCTCACCATGCATCACCTATCTTAAAGCTTCCCCCTCACCAAGCTCCACCATCCTTAAAATTTCCTCCTCACTAAAGCTTGGTTTACATTAAGCTTCACCAGCATTAAGCTTTACCCCTGACTTGTAATTAAGCAACACCCAGATCTCTCGTCTACTCTTATAAACCATTC